ATCAGAATCGTCCATAACAGTGTTTCCAATGACATTGCTTGATTGCTATTCCGTACCCAGAAGTAGCTTTTTATATTCATTTAACTTCAATTTATAATAGCAGCACTTATCTGTATCCCAAACAGCATGATCAACATTAGTATTTTTAGCAGATTCACAATTTACACATTTTAGCTGATTAGAACTACATTCAGAAACCTTATGACCACCGGCACACTTAATACAAACTTGATCAGATTTACTACAGTCTTTTACATAATGACCTAGTCCACAACACTTGTAGCAGATTTTCAAATTCAATGCATCATACACAACGCAGTTATCAACATTCACTAGAACACTACCTTGATCTAACAGGCCCGAATACGCGACAGGATCCAATTCCAAAAGAGCCTGGTGAACATCCTGACGTTTTTTTGTCGGCCACACCTTAAGAACCCTAAAGTCACTTGATTTATCAAGGATACGGTTTTGGGATTTCAATACAGTGACTAATCTGTCGTTATCGATATTATCGGACAACCCTACGATCCTCACGCGCGGGTTGTGTTTCTTTACTTCCTTGACCTCATATTCGTCTTCAGATAAATGCCGAGAAGCCAGCTCCTTCAATTTACTTGCATGATCAGGATCGTCGCATTTTATTATCAAGCCCCCGTTCCTCACATTTTTCACTTGAGAAAATTTTATATCGTTTTCAAATGGCTTAACATTTTGACGAATAATATTTCTCGTTTCAGTATTCGATTGATTAGTATTCTTCGGCTTGATGATAACATTAACATTCTTTTTAACAACTGATGCATAAGACGGAACCGCCTGACGGGTGGTATGTTCCACGTCTTCTTGAACCTTGCTTATGAGTGTAGATCGTGCCTCGGAAAATATGTCACGAATCCCATTTATAAGTTCCTCCACTTTGACTTCTAGTATATTCTTCATGAAATTCTCATAATCTTTTTTATTTTGGCTACAATTGGGACAGTACCAAAAAAGACCAGGCGTTTTTAGCACTTTCAGTACGTCAGCTGACACATCAGCACAAGAAATATGGTAATTTTTCCCACAAAAACCATTGCAAGAAATAGCTTGTTTGGTTCGTCCTATCGCTGTATTGCAATCAGGACAATTATTTATGTATGTAATGATCGTAATGTACGTATCAATTAATTCGAACTTTACGATTCTAAGAAAAATAATTAAACTAGGCAAGAGGCCTAACACTTGAGATCAATAATAATTAATATCTCATCGCTCTCGGTGATCTCGTCAACATACTCTAGAAGAGAAATATTTACCTATATCATTATGAACGAGCAATATATCATTTGACAATATTAATTTGACTATAACTATAGGAATTTTAGCTTACCCATAATAAACCTATTGTGGCATCTGAAACCGTTATATAGCACGCAGATATTCTGGCAATATAGCAATAAGTAGGATTGCAAACGCTGGCAATCTGATAGCAATATACGAAAGTATGTTGCAAATGTCAAATACGTCTAGCATATGTGGCCGGCACCCGTTTAACGTAACTTAACCATGGGAGCAGTCTGTCAGGTATCTTGGAGTCATCATTGACAGGGGGTTGACCTGGCAGAAACATACTGATATTTTGAAAACAAAATTCAAACTACCTTTCGGCAGCTTTATCCTTTGTTGTGCAGAAATTCAAAATTAAGTTTGATCAACAAGATTCGGTTGTATAAAATGGTCATAATACCCACAATTGCCTACGCATGCCCGGATTGGTGTTTTCTTGCCAAGACGCACATGCAGAGAGTGCAAGTCCTGCAACTCTCTGTTGCGTGATTCAGTAGATTACACAGTCGAGCAAGTTCGCAAACATACCAGGCCGCGCCTCGCACTGTGATCAAAATTAAATTTTAACTTCAGACCAGCCAAAATTCTTTCAGTATACAAAACCGATCAAAATTATTTTTTGGAGTTACAAAATAATTCGAGTAGTCAAAGCAATAATGCTTAAGCAGTTTCAAATGATTTACTTCTTTTCTTTGCTCTATTTCTTCCTTCCCTTCTTTCCTTCTTTCCCTTTTCCCCTTAAACATGTTTGGTATCTGGGTAGCCAGACCTGACAGACTAACAGACCGACGAGACTTTTAACTAAGAGCAAAGGTCCACCGGACCGGTCTGACGAATAATGACGAATAGTAACGTAACTTAAAAAGTGACATTATATCGATTTTTTGACATTATATAGGTTTTCCTATACAATTTTATCTTTGAACTAGTTGACATTTATCTTATGGTCACTACTTTATTGCAGCTGGATAATCCAGTAGAAATATTGCTCATTTAAAAGCGTCATTATGGAACCATTCTCTAAGCACATGTTCCAAATATGCCAAAATCAAAACTTAGTTGACACGTTATTCGAATACAAATTATTCTGGGATGAGCTTATTTTTGCGACATGCTGTATTAAAAGCGGACTGATCAAAAGTTTGAAGTATGAATTACTGTAGAGCTTCTGAACTATACTGGAACGTATCACCGTCTCATTTAATTTTAGGTGGCAGAATATCCATAACAGAATTTATACACTTGTCGTTGCCTGCTGGAGCATTTTTGGCCCGTTAGCCAGCAGAATCACGAAAATTCGAATTTTGCGTGCTTGTATTTTTTTGAACCGTTATAGATGAGCTTAGGGTAAAGCTGCACTGGACGTTGAAAATGTATGAGCATTAAGAACGTAACATTGAGGAAAATTATATACCAATGTTATTCAAGCTCTTCAAACAAATGAAGAAAGCTTATGCCCGTGATATTGCTTTGAATCTTTCTAAATTTAGAATGCTTTCAATAGTTGATTAGAATTTAAATGTAAATAAAACTTTGTGTTTCATGAACCTTATAACAAACGCTTTGCGTGTGTTATTTTTCGAATCTGGTTTATATTACGTTTCTGAATTATAAAGCTGGTTGCTTCTTTTTCTTCTTTCATCATCTATGCAACATGCAGTACCTGTTGGAGATACACCGAACTGGTTAATGACTGTTAATTGACTTTTTTGTGCAGATACTCGTGTGGCTTTGTGCGTGTCTGCAATAAGTCGAGTCTGATCTGGATTTCTCCGTAAATATCCATCACTATGTGGGTTTTTTACACAGATATTTTAGTTGATGATTCCTAGTGAACGGTTAACTTTATATCTCTTCCTACAGCAGTTTGATCTACCATTGCCTCTCATACAGAACGTAGGTACCCTTATTTGCTAGAGGGAAGCAAACAAAAATCTAAAATCTGTATATTTTGTTTATGTGTTTTGTTTAACAGAAGCCTTAGTTTTGAATACTAGCTAAAAACTGTAAGAAGCAGAAATCTTGTATTTACGGAAAGTTTGGGGTAATCTGATTAGCAATAATATTTATGTTTCGTATGGTGCTTGCAGCTCTTACTAGGATTGTGACAATGAGTGAAAAAAATGATCAATTTTTTCTTTTTCAATATTAATCGATTTATACAAAATCGATTTTAGACGAAAAAGTACACGATTCTTCTAGAAAAATTGATGAAAAAATGGATGGAAAAGGATTCATGTTAAGGAAGATGTCCATCTCATTAGAGCATCGGTAATTGAAAATTGAAGGGCGCGGGGTCAAAAACCAATTCTCGATATTCCCGCAGGGAGGGGGGTGAGTCCACTTCACTAAAGGTATTTTTATAAGGAAAAGTATTGGGCCGTGGCGTTCTGGGAGTTTAAAAAGATATAAAACTGTGTATCTACTTATTTACACACAGATGGCAATATCTTTCATCTACCTATTCATGCTACGTAATGAAGTGTGAACTTACTTCGAGTTTTTGCATCTGTCGTACCAATGCGCTGTTCACAAAAAAAAAATTAAATTGGGTAATCTATACAATCGGTTTATTGAAAATTGGTTATTATGATCAAGAAAATCGGTTACTAAAAATCGATTACAAAAAAAAAATTAATAGAATAATCCCTTATTGTTTAACATCTTTGGCTTTTACTGCGAGATATGCGAAAATTGCATTTGTTGAAGACCCTCAAATTTATTTATGTCATTCTGTAAAGTATCATCAAGTTTCTTTCTTAAGTGTGCAACAACAAATGATGGCCGAAATTCGAAGCAGGCTCTTAGGGTATAATAAGCTTGAATTAAGATTGATGCATCAGTGGTGGATCGGCGAAGCGTGTCATAAAAGAAACAGCAATATATAATGACCCTTACATGTGGTTAAAGGAAGCATTCACCAAAAAAACATTACTTTTTCGTTTCTAACCGTCTACCGACAAACGAATCGACGACCGTGGAGAGCGTATAGCTGTTATTTTTTGGAACTGTAAAGATCTCAGTTCGCGGTAAATAGCTCAATCACCATGTGACCGCTAGATGGCTGACGATTCTGGCTGTACAGTAGATGTGGTCTACTTGCCCTCATTACCGGGATCGTTAATAGTCACTACCAGCTAAGAACTGAACTCAGTTTCATACCTGTGTATTTATATATCTAGGTGTTGAGTTCAAATAGCCCGCTACGTTTTCTCAAAATTGCTTAAACCCATTTTGCTATTAAAAAATATCCATCCAAAGCTCAATTGAGCTTTTAGGAACGATACTTATCCTCTTTATCTGCCCACGTAGGCTACACTCCTTCCAAAGTCTTCAATATTCAATATTTTGGTGCGGCAGAATAAGAGAAAGTATGGAATTTTACTACGCGAATTTCGACAATGAATCTGTTTTTAGATACAAATCGGCAAATAAGCGTAATACTGAGAAACACATCCATTATTGGCAATTGTTGTTTACAACTTTTCTTAATAAACCCCTCTCTTTGTACGTCACTGTCCATATCACAATCTTTAACCGTCGCTGGTCATAAATAAACATAATAATTATCAAATCAAGTCGAGAAAGCGCATTGAGCGCATTAAGGTGCCAGCCTTCATCATGAAACCGCTTCTGTTCGTGGTCACTAAGAGGGAGTTGATCTTTTGCAGATACTCCAATGAGCTTGGGAGGATCGCCAGGAAACTCTCTTCCCCCAATGTAGGACTCTTCCGGCAGCTGAGAGGCATTAGCGTCGTCTATGGGGATTTAAGAGACCTATCGCCTAAGGTAAGGGCAATTTTACATTTTTTTTATAAAATCAGTCTAAGATTAGGTTTGGTCGCAATTTATAGAAATACCTAAAACGTTCAAGAGAATCTACTGATATATGCGTTTGCGAAATTTCAATGAAATCCATCGATTTGTTCCTGAGATAATCTCTATAATATTTATAAGGGCTTCTTATGAGAAGCTCCATATTTTAATGTACACCAAACAAAGCTATGCATATAAATGATTAAAAACTGATTATATGAAACCTGAAGGGCATTCATACCACTGGTGTATCGAGAAAAAGGCTCTGGTGGAGGGGAACAAGATACATTTCACAAACAAATTATGTCCAATGCCTCATTTTTGCAAAAGTACGGGGATTCGTATGCACTAAAATGCAATAGCTAAGTGCTCAGTAGTCTAGGATGTTTTTTGACCGTATAAAATGTAGTTTTCGAAGTATTTTAAGAAATATCTGGTCCATAGTTTTTGTTGTGTATTTGAACGATTGGTGTGGAAACGGATTCACCGCTTCGTTGTTGCTAAGCGTGTTGTACGTGGAGGTACCGTCTCCGGTTGGGGATAAATTTTATCTCTAATTGTCGATTGCAATTAGGAGAGTTTATACATATAATTATGGAAAAATAACATTTTGACAAGGTTCTTATCTGCTTTAACCTGTACAGTATGACCAAAGATTTGGATGTTTATCAGACACAGGCATTTGGTGTTGATAATGCTTACATATAAATACATTCTGTTATCTCTGCACATAAAATACATCTTGCACGTACACAAATAATTCCGTCGTATATTTACAAAATCGATTCAACCTTTAGTCGAATAAATATTAATTCCATCGAAACTATTACAAAATATTCCATTATTCCAAATAGCTGTTTGTGTGTTAATAGCGCAAAGTACTAACAGAGCTTCTCAAACTATTTTTGATACTCCTGCATCAATTTTATGGTGGTAAGCTGGGGTAGCATTTTTAACTGTAGCAAAAATATCAGGTAGGTTACATTCGATTTCATAATAAGAGTTTTATGAGGCTGCATAAACCGGGAGTACACTGAGTATTATCTAAAATGGGGAGTAACATAGCCCAATTGCTTCGTACGCTGCTGAGCGAGGCAGTTTTGAAATCGCAAAATATTTCGAAAATTAAAAATTTTGTAAAATAGCTTTAATTCGCCCGACCACAGAAGATGAGATGGTCAACCACGGACAACTGTTTCGTGCTATCTAGGCTTGGTCTTGATGGACAACGAACGAAAGCCAAAGTATAAGATCTATCGAAGTAAGTGACATCTATTATCAGAATCGACCACTGCGAAAGTGAAAACAGCAAGCTGATTGTTGGAACTATGCGTCAGTTCGCATTGTCTGCCGGGTCTCCACTGTAGCCAGTTATTTGTTCAATGGCGAGTAGACCGTATCTACTATAGGAAAAGAATTAGCTGCATCTGGCGTCTGTTCTTCATCTGTTGCTCTTTCATTAGTATCTTCTTCTTGGTCTTCCGAAATTATATTCATTTCATCTAGAAGAGTGGAGTTTTCGATTGAAATATCAGTTTCATATGTGACTTGCCTGTCTTCATACTATTACTTTTGGATTCAGATAAAATGTTTTCGAATATCATTGGCGTCGGGTCAACAATGAAGGATGTTGGTTTTAGTGTACCTCCAGTCAAATATCAACCGAAATTCTCAGGGCTTAGGTTCACACAACATGGATCTATTGCTTTTGTTCAAATTGAGCTGACAAAAATAGTTCTGAGTACTTTCAAGGACTTCCAAAAAGGTTGAATCAATTTCGAGTCACAAGTAATATTTTCAAAAAAATATCCTGTGCTTCTTGTTGCTGAATCGTTTTTTTTAATAAATGAAATTGATATTGATTATTCACTCTACCACATCTGTTAACGCTGTACATGAAGGCAGTAGATTTTTGGACGATATTAATTTTATTGCAATCAAATACGTTACTTAGGTACTCAGTCGGTGACGCAAATATTCTTTGGAATGTTTTGCTCTTTGTAAATAACTAAAAAATCAAATATTAACGGCACAAAACGTATTCACTCCAAAACGAAATAAACCAACAAAACGTATCTACATAAATCCCATCTGCTGTGCTGCGTCCTTGTTTAGAACGGGAAGCATCGCGAGCATTTCTTTTCTCTTTACTTGCGACGATTATTTTATAGGCCACCATATGTTATAGTATAGATAAGAAAAATTAAACTTTGAACGGATATATAACATACTAAAAAACACGTAAATGCAAATAATTGTCAGTCAAATACCTGTTTGAGAGCGGGCAACCATTTTTAATTTTATTCCTTACGTTATTTTCTGTCAAATAACGTTGGATGTATCTAGGATGTTAAACAAAAATTAATCATAATATATTTCCTATGATAGGGTCAACAGGGCCAACAAAGATCCTTTCTTTGATCTTTAAAGCTGAGGGTCTATTGGGGCGGCTTTTGACTCAAATAAAAAAAGAAATATTTTTTAACCAACAATATGAAGTCGACTTTTACACTAAATGGCCAATTTCTAGGCCACCATCTCCGCTTTTTTCGCTTTTCCAATTATTATTATCAGACGTTAATACTAGGAAAAAAATTCTCAAAAAAGCGTGATAGAATATTTTTATTACTTTTTCATAGCTCATTACTTAATACTTACCTAATTTATAAATTTATAATTAAAGCCATCGCAGGCTTGCGAAATTTGTCACTGCTCATAGAGTATTTCAAGCAATTTAAACTGGGGTTATTGCTACAGGTGCGTCTCTATGTGGAAGAAAATGTCGATCTCTGCAAACCAGACAACATCCACATCTGTGATGGAACTGACGAAGAAAATAACCATCTGCTCAAGATTATGCAGAAGCAAGGAACCATTATACCTTTGCCAAAATATGAAAACTGGTAAGTTAAAATCAATATTTCACAATTAATTGACGTTTAAAGCACTGGGATCTCTCACCTGTGCATTATATTCTGTGGGGTCTCGTTTCAAAATGACTCGACTAGAGGTTCAATCTTTTTGAAGATTTCTGTGTTTTATGCAAATTGAAAGACCTAACCTATCAAAAAGATCTTTCACTTTTGTTTGCTGAGATCGTCCAAAGGTCAGTGACTCGAACTATTCGATTTTCATGTATCTTGCAAAATTTTCAAATTAATGTCAACGTGCTTATATTATTTAGGGCTCCAGGGCACAGTGAGCTTTTGGATTCAGTCCGTATCACAGATTAAATTATCATACGTATTATTTGCAGTTCCTCCAGTTAGTCATCAGTGTATATGTGTTATCACTTGTCTGGAACATTAACTTAAAATACATATTGTTGTGATAAATAAATGTTTTCTTGGAATAGTTGAGCCAGCAGTATAATATTTTATCCATATCATGTTTACATAAAAACGTATAGGTCCTCTCACATACATATTGCATACAATCGCATATATACTATACCGGGCGTTTCAAATCCAACCCTCAGATCTTGAAAACGGTAAGAGATACGAAGTTGTTTAAAGTGAGACAATAGTTGAGAGCTTTAATGATTGTTTTTCTGAACAGCGTAAATAATTTGGCAATTGATATAGATGACATACATATGGAAAATACTTTGAATTATATTTATTTATTTATTTATTTATTTATTTATTTATTTACTAGTATATACACTATCCGAACGGTTTATTACACCATTTAACGGATAGGAACACAGGAATCAATTTTAAGACAAAATTGTTCAAAAATAACTTAAAATTTCCAAATGACTTAACCTACTGTTATGTAAAATCTTTTTAAGCTACGCAAATTACAAAAGAACAAATCTACTGCGTTTCTTGCACGTTCATAGTTGTTACATACTACATATATCGGAGATGAAAGCAACGCATTGGTTCTAGCTACGTTTAAGTAAAAGTATTTTGAATTGGATCGCGTCTTAGCATTAGGTACATGAATAAGAATCTTACCAAGTAAATATTCACAATCTATGGCATTATTAAGCATTTTATATAAAAATACACAAGCAGCGTAGTTTCTGCGCTTCTCCAAGTTACAGAGGTTATATCTGCTAAGTAATACATCATGCCTGAAGCCAACTTCTGGATACGTACCATCTTCCTTGTGCCATAAATATTTCACAAACCGCCTCTGAATACGTTCAATTTTATTCGAGTGAACTTCATGAACAGGATACCATATTATAGACCAGTATTCAATTTTAGATCGAACAAATGAATTATATAACGAGATCATGGTATGAACATTATTGAAATGCCTACAATTTCTGATAATGAAGCCCAAACTTTTATAGGCCTGGCTAACAACAGCATCAATATGCGAAACAAATGTAAGTTTGGCATCAAAGGATATACCTAAGTCATGAAACTCTTCACACATGTTAAGTTGCGAATTGTCAGTGTTATATATGAATCTGATTGGAACAAGTTTGCGCGTAATAGACATAGTTGTAGCATTTATCAGCATTAAGGTACAGCTTGTTACGGTGAGACCACTTATTTAGGTTGCTCAAGTCGTTTTGCAATATATATACCAACTCCTACAAATAGGTTTAGTACATTATTTAAAACACCTCAAATGAAGAAACTAAGAAATACAGTTAACAATTTAAAAAATAAAAACAGCAGTGTTGACGGAATTAATACCAAAATCTTGAAATTAGCTTTTGAAGTCATAGGCAATCGCTTTCTCCAGCTTATAAATTCCAGTATGGAAACAGGATGTTTTCCCCAGGATTGGAAAATGTCAACAGTCATCACTACAGAAAAAGTGAGTGTAACAATAAAATTTGAAGAGCATAGACGAATTAATATGGTACCTGTATATGAAAAACTTCTAGAAACCGTTGTCAATCAACAATTACGTCAATACGTAAAAGAAAATAAATTACTTACAAAATACCAAGCTGGTTCTAGGAAGAGTGCGCTTCAGTCTGTTATTTCAGGATGGAAAAAAGTTTTGAGTGTGGGTCATTATGTGGGTGTTGTGTTTATCAACTTTAGGAGAGCATTCGAAACAATAAATAGAAATTTGTTGAAAAGTTCAGTCTGTTATTTCAGGATGGAAAAAAGTTTTGAGTGTGGGTCATTATGTGGGTGTTGTGTTTATCAACTTTAGGAGAGCATTCGAAACAATAAATAGAAATTTGTTGAAAAGATATGAGATATGATAAGATTTGTAGAAAACGTTTTAAGATGGTTCTCAGGATACTTGGAACAAAGAACTCAGCGAACAAAGTACAAAAACTCTTTATCTTCTGTAAGAGAAGATACACATGGTGTGCCTCAGGGAACCGTGTTGGGTCCAGATCTATTCATGCTTTATATAAATGATGTTGTAAAGGCTGTAAAAAATTGCAAAATTCAGTTGTTTGTAGACGATACAATTTTGTTCATGGAATGTGACAACATAGACTATTTGGTTAAAATGATTAATGAAGACTTAAAGACACTAAATGCCTGGTTAGGGAACAATAGTCTTAGTATTAATGTGGACAAGACTAAGTGTATGATACTGAAATCTAAATTTAATGTTCAGGATACTTATTTGCACGACGGATTTATAATTGAAAATAATAAGATTAAACAGATTAACAAGTATAAATATTTAGGAGTTAGGATAGACTCAAATTTAACATTCAATAACCATGCAGATTATATTATATATAGGGTGTCCGCAAAGTTGGGGTTTTCCTTTACACGACGTGTAGATCTTGGAAACATAAGCAATTTTTCTTAGTACCATATACACCAATGTCTTAAGTGAACCGAGATAAAGGGCTCTGCAACATCAAAAATATCTGAATACCGTCCTGTAGCCGCGACATCACCGACTGGTACAAAGTCACTGGCTCAACCCGACGACAGAACTGGGTCGGGGTCAGTGTGTCAGGTCAGTATGCAACCTTCAACCGACGGTTAAGGTCACGCGTGTAGAGGTAATCGCGTAGACGAGAATCCCTCTACAAGCACTAGAGACGTGGCTAGAGAAGTGCAAGTATCAAAAACTAAAGTGTGGCAAACGCTGCGTGAAGAGGGGCTGTATCCGTTTCACGTCCAAGGTGTACAAGCCCTTCAACCTGACGATTTTCCAGCAAGAGTGCGGTTTTGTGAGTGGTTGTTGCATTAACATGACAACAATCCGTACTTTTTGAAGTGCATATTGGTGACAGACGAATTTACGTTCATGCGTAATGGGGTGAATAACTTTCGCAACACTAATGTTTGGTCAGTAGAAAATCCGCACGCTGTCCGTCGGGCATATTTTCAACAAACATTTTCGGTGAATGTTTGGGCTGGCATGGTGAACGGTATGCTCATTGGACCATTTATTCTCCCAAATCGATTGGACGGGATGCAATACCTAGACTTTTTACGCAACATTTTCCCTTCCTTGTTAGCCATTAAGTGTAAGACAATCAATGTGGTTTCTGCGTCTGCTTGGTAGCACATCAGCTGATTTCATTTTCTGTTGGAGCGGTATGATTTCGGGCAGAGACGTACTTAGCCCTTCTCGTCAACTGGAGAGTGAGTACTTTTTCCTTTATTTTTTTTTACTTGGTCGCCCTCGTTTCAGTACACATTACCTTTGTTATTTCAAGGGTAGTTGTTTCTGAAAAGGAAAACCCCAACTTTGCGGACACCCTGTATATATATATATATATATAAAGTTTCTAAAAAAGTTAATTTCATGTGTAGGGTAACAAAGGACCTTAGTTCATGGACTTATATATAAAACAATAGTCATGCCTCACTTTAAATACTGTTCCTCCATATTATATATGTTTCAGAAAGGTGATATAGATTCACTACAGAGAAAACAAAATCAGGCTCTTAGATGTATATCAAGATGTAATTGATACACAAGAATTAAAGACATGTTAGAAGTAACTAATTTATTAAGTATCAAACAAAGTATATTTTACAATACAATGATAGTCATCTACAAAATAAAGAATGGAATGTATCCCGAACACGTATTGGAAGGTTTGCAATTTGTCTGTGATATTCATAGTTACAATACAAGGAATATGTTTGATTTTTATGTTCCTGCTGTGGGGTCTGCTTTTGCGCCAAATAGTTTATTTCATAAAGGCCTTATATATTTTAATAATTTACCAGCTAAAATCAAATCTACAAATTCTGTCAAATTCAAAAGACAATTAGGAATTTATGTAGAAAATGGTGATAGTTTTAGATAATAACATTGCATATATTGTATTGTTTAGCTTGAAGCTATTAAATAAAGATACTACTATACTACTAAATGCAGGCACATTGCGTATTTAGGTAACAAACAAAATGTGGCTTAGAAAGTTCCAAAATTCAAAGTACCTACTTCCGGACAGAGACAAAAAAAAACGAATTTTCCCAAAATCGTTTTAATCTTTTACTGACTTTATTCGCAGTGAGATTTAAAAATAAATTGCACATTAATGTCACCACTTTTACTCCTATACAAAAAGGCATAACCAGAACTTCAATATGACGTTTCGTCTATTGTCCTCCAGCATCAACTTTGTTTTTTCTCATAGACGCCATATTGGATTCTTCCATATATGAATAGAATTTCCAATTCTAATTCCAAAAATGTATAACGTGTTCTTTATTGATATTTTTAAATCGTAGTTATTTCAGAAAAACAGAATTTCCTAGGTAGGCTTTGACATGATCAGGTAGTCATTTGTTTCGTATAGCAGATTTATTACAAAATCCTTTTTATTTTTCCTGACTTTATTTGAAATGCGATTTCGAAATAAAGTTTGTTCATTTAAATACTACTAAGCATAGTATTACTTATATTCATAATTAAATGCAGAATTAAACATTATATTCCATTGTGCAAACTTTCAATAGGGACTCCAATAGAAAGAAAAAACAAAGTTGAGGATGGAGATCGAAAGCAGAACCGTCTAACTGAAAATTTGACTATGCCATCTTGTAGATAAGAAACTGACAATGCTAATAGGGAATTTATTTTAAAATCACATTTCAAATAAAACCAGGAAGTAAATAACGATTTTCAATAAATCCGTTATACAAAACAAATGACCTGATAATTTCAGAAAATTCTATTATTTTGAAATAAGGTTCGACAATGTTCAGATTCGGCATGTTAAACATTTTTGGAATCAGAACTAAAAAACTCTATTCATCTGTGCAAAAATCCAATATGGCTCTAATAGAAAAAATAGAGTTGATGCTGGAGGATAAGCGATGAAATATCATATTGAAATTGTAATTATACCATCTTTTAACAAACCCAAACACAAGTGCTAACTTTTTTTGGGTGCTTTATGTTTATTGTGCACAATATTTGATATTTACCTGTATTTTGTGACAATAAACGTTATTATTATTATTATTATTATTATTATTATTATTATTATTATTATCATTATCATTATTATTGTAGAGGAGAAAAAGTGGCAATGTTAATGTGCGATTGATTTTGAAATTCCACTACAAACAAAGTTAGGAAAAAATTAAAACGATTTTGGGAAAATACGTTTTTTCCGTCTCCCTCCCTAGAAGTACTTTGGGGTTCAAAACTTTATGAGTGGCATCTTGTTGGAGACTGAAACACGCAATTTTTCTATCATTTAGGCCACCCATACCATTTCCGAGGTCCCAATGGTGAGGGTCGAATTTGAAACAGCCGGTATACAGACACCCATGTTAATCATTTAAAACCCTTGCTTTTGCATCGGGAAAATCTTATATTGTCTTTGTATTTTTTTTTTCAGCTGGCTAGCAAGAACAAATCCTGCAGATACAGCCCGAGTAGAATCCAAAACCTTCATTTGTACTGAAAACAAGTCTGATACCATCCCATCACCCAAAGAAGGTGTAAAAGGTCAATTAGGCAACTGGATTTCACCAAAGGATATGCAAGATGCTGTAAAACAGAGATTCACGGGCTGCATGAAAGGAAGGACTATGTATGTGGTGCCATTTTCTATGGGACCGCTTGCATCTCCTCTTTCCAAAATTGGTGAGTCTTCTCAATTGTTATGTTTTTAAATAAGTTGCTTAATGAATATAGAAGTATGAATTTAAATTCATTTGCCAGCTGATGATTTTGAAAGCTATAGTCCTTGTCCGGTAAGTTAGTACTTGGAGACTAAGTTGTTTGTTTAATATTTATTTAGCATGATTGCTTCTTCTGAAAAACTAGACAATTACATAACATACAGATATTCAGAAAAAAAAACAAAATTAGAATCTCTAAGAATTTTCATTGTCCATGAAATATTCCTTGAATTTTCTTTTAAATATCTTTAAATTACAAGTAGACTTTATATCATTATTTAGTTTATTAAATTCAAGTAATCCTTTCTGAAATATTGATTTGCTAGTTATATTAGCATTGCAATTTTGTAAATAACAATCTACATTTCCTCTTGCATAATAATTGTGGTAATGATTATTCAATTCTATTGTTCTAAATGTTCTGGCAAAAGATGATTTTTTGTTCCAAGACTATGATAAGCCCTATAAAAGTACGAGTAATTTGTTTGTTTGGAAATTTTTGAAATAATGTATTCATAGTGATCCTCAAAATGCAGTTTACTATCGATATATATACAGGGTGGCCAAACACGTGACGTCATAAAAAAAAATTAGATTCCCCACATCGAGAATCACCCTCATATATATGGTCCGATTTTGTTTAGTTTAGGAGTTATGATTTTTTTTCGGATTTTTCGAGAATTTTTGAGTTCTGTGTTTATTTTTACCATAACTTCGTTAATAATTGTGATAAATGCCTGCTTTTTTCACGATTATGTAGCTAAGACCTAAGGCTTAACTATCATATAATCATTCAAGTCATGTAACTAATACTACTTTTTAATTTTTTTCAAAATCTTCGAACATAACAAAAAAGTAAAAAAGTGCAACAACTTTGAACGTTTATAAAAAATTGAAAAAACATGTTCTATTCGTAAGTATCTTAAAAACTTCCTTACGGTATCAGCTATTTACCGTAAAAATTTCATCAACCTAGCTTTACTACATGCTACCGTAATTGTGGCTCAAATAGAACCGAACCCAAAATTGGATAACCTTCTGCTCAATAGAAATTGTTAGTTTCGGAAAAAAAAATTGCAAAAACCACAAAAACACGTTTGATTTTTACTGAACAGCAGATTATTATTCATTTATGTTATTTACAAGAGGTTTTCAAAATGTCTGCCTCTAACAGAAATGCACAGTGTACACCTACGTATGAAATTTTGTTTTAAATCTCTAAATGCTTGTGTGTTGTTTTTCAACACATGTGTCGCTTCTTGAATTTTGTTCCTCAATGAATTTTCATTTGCACATTCTTGGGCGAATGTTATGTCTTTAAAATATCCCCAAACAAAAAAATCAATGGGGTTGAGGTCAGGGGAGCGTGGAGGCCATCGTATCGGTCCGTTTCGTCCGATCCATCTGTCTGGGAACCTTTCGTTTAAGTAGTTTCGCACGATCGTTGCGTTGTGGCATGGTGCACCATCATTCTGGAACACCATGTTCCGTCTGGCTTCCAGGCTTGAATCTTCCAGCAATAATGGTAGGCTATTTTCAAGGAAGCTTTTGTAGGCTACCGAATCCAACCTTGACGGCAGTTCAAATGGACCGATAAATTCCATATTGAATATTCCTGACCACATGTTCACACTAAAACGGTGTTGAAATGTCGACGGCCTTGAGTGGTGGGGGTTTTCAACAGCCCAAGTATGTAAATTATGAATATTGAATATCCCTGTTCTTTCAAAACGTGACTCGTCAGTCCATAAAATTTTATCAAAAAAATCGGGATCCTCTCGTTGTCTTCGCAGCATTGTCTCGCAGAAATCCACTCTTAACTGGTAATCTGAAGGCATCAACGCTTGAACTCTTTGAACATGATAGGCATGATAACCTTCTTCATGAAGAATATTTTGTATCGATGTTCGTGGTATTCTAAGGTTTTGTGCCATAGATCTCGTACTCGTTGAGGGATTCCGGCTAATTTCTTCAAGTACTACTTCTCTGCGATCCGGATCAGCTGTAGGATATCCTTCATTGCTTCCTCGTCCTGGAATGCGGCCTGCCATGAAAGTGTTATGTGTGTTAATAAAAACACGGTGGTCTGGGTAATGCTCAGCTGTACCGGGAACAACTTATACGCCGAGGCGGACCACAACCTGAACAACTCAGAATTCTTAACTTTAGAAACAGGAGTAATGGTAGAACACTTCAGTTTTGTTGGAAATTTGCCATATCTTAAACATTAATTTATCAGGATTAATATTCTTATTGTACGGTATGTTTTGGAAAAATGTTGAATGTTGGTATTTATCATATTTCAAAGAGTTCTTCCTAAAGTTTTATTCTGTTACCACATTGACAAAATGGTACCTGTAAAAGTCCTGAATAATGTCTTCTTTCTGATTTGTCTACGATAAAAAATGTTTATGAGGCAAATATATTTTTCACATGTTTTGCCGTGTATTTTTCTAAATTTTTGCTTTGATATCTTGTAACTTCGCAGCCTGTGTCGCCAATTAGAAAAGTACCCGCTTCAGATCGGGACTCGCTTTGTAGTCAATCAATATTTAACATGCACCTTCTGCACGCAGATGCGTGTTGAAAGTGAGTACTTTCCGCACGCTGGTAGAAAAAATCTTCTGCCTGACACTTGCGGAAGGTGATACTTTTCCGCACGCGACGGCAGTTGCACGCACAGTGAAGCATGTTGTTAAAACCTGTCAAATCATTGAGTTTATCAATACTATATATACTTCCAAAGGAAATTCAAAGACTATCTAGCAGGAAAAGTATTGTTCTGTATCGATAAATATTTAACAAAAAACTTTTGTGATATGCTTCATATTATTTTTATTTGTTTCAGTTGGCTCTGTGCGTGTGTTAATGTTCATATTTATTTCACTCTGTCCCGGTTTTCCTAATTTTAATTATTTACAAAAAAAGGTGTGGCAAATAAATCTATGTTATAAATTTGTTTCAGGTGTGGAGATCACCGATTCCCCATACGTAGTAGCCTCTATGAGAATCATGACCCGAATGGGTAAACCCATCTCTGAGAAACTTCAAACAACAGGCGGAGAGTTCGTAAAGTGTCTCCATTCGGTCGGAGCTCCAGCCACAGGTTTTGTGGAGAGTTCGCAGTGGCCCTGTGATCCGGAACGCACTATTATCCTGCACAAACCCGCTCAAAATGAGATTGTGAGCTATGGGAGTGGCTATGGAGGAAACTCGTTGTTGGGCAAGAAATGTTTTGCATTGAGGATCGGGTCTACCATCGCTAGGAGAGAAGGATGGCTAGCTGAACATATGCTGGTAAGACATTTCTTAGTGAAATTGCGGTTTGGGGAACAAAGTTTCATAGATATAACATACCAACATCATGTGTGTCCTTAGTTTGGAAACAAGAAAATTTTTATACATCTATAGTACTTTTCAAGGTTACAATGCCATATGACATAAGTAAACAGACTGACTTATGGTACCAAGGGAAATTGCATACTGTGTAAGCCGATCCGTGACGCAGCTGATACTCGCTCTTGCACATACACATGAATTGGGTGTCAAAGACCCGTTGTTTTCACTCGCTTTTCGAGAATACTTTTATATAAGAGATCAACATTGACAAGCACAAATCACACGCGCTTGGAAAGCAAGTTGTCATGCTGGTAGCGACAAACAAATTTGAAAGACTCATACGTTGAATTTTCAAGGCGGTGAGATAAAACTAAAAAACGTATTTCTCTGAGTTTACACAAACAAACGAATACATGAAAGTAATTCTTGTAGTTTTATTTTGATCCGTCAAAAGCAGTGAAAGGGCCTATATAGGTGTATGTGAAAAACCAGGAGCTGTTTGGCCTTCATATTATTTAAAAATTGCTGCAAAGTTGCGAAACGGTTACTCTACATATCTTCCTATGTAGTGGACCGATTTTAACTTTTTTCAAGAACAAGTAGGTATATATTGTTACACATTTCTTAATAATCCAGTAGTTATTCGGATCTATCAAGTTTTTCTATTCTTATCAACTTGTGTGAGTATTTAAATAACACATCTTGAAATGGGAGATCGGTCAGTTTTTGATAGTGTAAAAAACAATTTCGAACAATAAATGGATATTCACGAATACTAAAGTCGGTTTTCGCTAATCTCACCACAAAATTAAAATATCATCGCAAAACTTTCAAAGTCTAGGCCAGCCATTAAGGTGACGTGTGAACTTACATGTGTTCTCAGTTTGAATGCTGGACATTCCTCAATGTATAGGAATATATAAAGTACGATGTCACCCGATCACATTTAAAAATTGCCACCAAGTTGCACAACAGCTATTCAACATTTTTTTGAAACTCATTTTACTTCTTTTTTTAAAGGCAAACATATTTTGTGATCATATATTTTTTAGATAATCCAATAATTATTGACATCAGTGAAATATTTTGCAATTTGGTCCCCAATTTCAAATATGACCATTATTCGGATTACGTGACCTTTTTTCAAATCTGTTTAACCGAAATAATATTCAAAGTGTATTGTGCCTTGTAGCCCTATGAGTATCGATCCATATTTGAAATATTTGGAATGCTTAGTCCGACTTTGTGGTAATATTAGCGAAAACTGCACCTAGTATTAGTAAATTCATTACCTTTAACTGTTCCAAATTGATTTATACATCTACCAAAAATACACCATTTTAATATAAAATCGCTGTTATTTTAATGCCTTCGCAAAATTGAAAATTCTCGTATATTTTAATTACTGGATTATTTACCCACACTAGACGTAACCCTACTTTTGGAAAGCGTTTATACTAAAGGGAACGCGTTGTTGGTAACAAAAGTTTCTCCTATAAAGAGGACACCAGAAAGCTTTTCATCTAAAAAGTCGCTAATACCGTTTCTTAAGTCATATGGCTCGTGAAAGAAGAACATTCTTCATTCAGCTTTTATCTTGCGTTTTACTATTTTCCAGATCTTGGGTATCACAAATCCTCAAGGAAAGAAACGTTACATAGTCGCTGCTTTTCCATCTGCATGTGGTAAAACTAATTTGGCCATGATGAGGCCCACTCTGCCAGGCTATAAAATCGAATGTGTTGGAGATGACATTGCATGGATGAAGTTTGACAAGAATGGACAACTGAGGGCTATCAATCCTGAGAATGGCTTCTTTGGAGTTGCACCAGGTATATATTATGCGCTCCTTTCTGACAAAGTATGTCATGACTAACCATTAATAATATCTAATATAAAAATACTTCTTAATTTTTTTTTGATGTTCCTGATTGCATCTATAAAAAATCAACGCTAAGGTTTCATGATGCTTCTTTATATGTCACGTCTCACTATCATTTATCAGTTTAACAAAGCTTATCATTACAGGCACATCAAGAGCCAGTAATCCCATAGCAATGGATACCGTGTTCAAGAACACCCTCTTCACCAACGTAGCTTTGACCAATGATGGAGGTGTATATTGGGAAGGATTGGAAGACGAAACGCCCAAAGATGCCAAAATAACTGATTGGAGGGGTAAAGCCTGGGTTAGAGGTCATGACAGCACACCTGCAGCTCATCCCAATTCAAGGTAAATAGACCACGGGTCAACTAAGAACTATTCAATGTTTCTTCGACTCTAAGAATACACCACAAAAACAATATTCAATGCGACGGTTCAAAATATTCTCAGGAAATAATGAAATCAAGCTACCATCAAGATAATCTTGCACTTCTGAGCTTATTTTGAGTTTCTCGCCACTCTTGGCTTGTATTTTGCCAAACTTCATTCCCAATTTTTTGATACGCCATTTAACTTTTTCTTAGGTTCTGTACTCCAGCTAAGCAGTGTCCCATAATTGACCCAGCTTGGGAGGACCCAGAGGGAGTACCAATCTCCGCCATTTTGTTCGGAGGAAGACGCCCCCATGGAGTTCCTTTGGTATACGAAGCTAGGAATTGGAAACATGGAGTATTTGTTGGTGCTGCAATGAGATCAGAAGCTACTGCTGCAGCTGAACACAAGGTACACGAATTGCAGACATCAATTCTTCAACAGTTCTTACTGCTTCCACATTTTAGCGCTAAACCCATTAAAATTGCTTTTTTCTAATAAAGAATATGTGGGCTAAGATATTTGACGACCATAACCAATACTAAAAACTAACAACTAACTCCACACCCGCTTGGCTAAAGGAATATACTAGGTCAAGCGATTTAGGTTTTCCAGATTGGAATTAATTAATTAATTATTGCAAAATGAAGCACAAGATATTGGGCGTATAAAAATAGTCAGAATACTCAGAGACTTGACGTTAGTTTAATTTTTAAGGAATGTCCACGGGAAAACATCTACTGGAGTCATTTCTGGTGATCCTGATGGTCATGCAATATCACTAATGCGAGACAACAACTTTTTTGAAAACAGCTCAGGAAATTGAAACATAATGACCTTTGACGTGTCGCAAACCGTGCTTAAACCGTGTCCGTAAGCTGGCATTTGTACTGTGTTATCATCACGCCTCTCGCATTTCCAAGAAAATGATCCCATTATTTGCGATGGTGATATTTCGTGGCCACTGCGATGACCATATTTGACATCCATCGACTCTGCGGCGTACGCTAATACTCAAAAGAATATTGCTGAAAATATCTGGGACTTCAGCATGTTATGTAAAATGCGATAAATATGTTACATGAATGCCTGCTATGGAATGGAGGATGTCTAGGTAACGTTATCCTTAAAAATAAAGTTCACACATCTGCTACTTCAATTTCAATAATAACTAACATTGTTAATTTGAATTGGCCACCCTAAATTTTATCTGTACTTTTATGTACCTTCAGCTGAATAACATAATACCAATTGATTTGAAAAGTTTCTGGACTCTACATGAAAAAAGATTAGTTGATCTCTGAAAATATGTTTATTCTTCGATATAGTCATCCTTAAGTTCAATATATTTTTACTAGTAATTTTCTATTGGATTTATATCTTCCCTGTGATTCTCTGGAAACTCTTCAAAGTCCCCGTCTACGGCAGTAAATACTTCTACACTTGGAGCTCGTAAAACAGCAAAGTAAATAAATCTGGAGGTGCTAAGTCTGTTTGATAGGATAGGGTTTCAAGCACCTAAAAATATCATCATCTGATTTTTTGTCTCGATGGAATAAGATTTTTGTCTTCTGTAAACCTGATCTTTTCTCCCGAGTTTCGACAGACAGATTGTCTAAAATAATCCTATACAACCATATTCTGCTGTTATAGTTCCAATTGTTTGCAGTGACCTATTAACAACTTTGCTTACTTAGGGTTCAATCCACTCTACGGTTTGACGTCGCAATTTAGGCTCATATCGGTGAACCCAAGTCTCATCCATAATTATATAGATATAATATATTACAAGTTAATCAGTTGTTTCCCATGCAAACTGATCTAGATGTCGTTGGGGAATTTTTATTCGAATTCATCTTTGATCCAACGTTGACGAATCCACGTTGCGAACAGCTTTCTAGACCCTAATTCATTTTTTTAAATACGAAAGACAGATTTATTTGAGATGCTCAGAGCCTCAGCAATTTCAGACTTAGTCGGTTTATTTAATCAGTGAATATTTTTAAAATGTTTCCATTTAGCCCATTTAGAGTGCAATACATAAGTAATTAATTTACGTATTCCTGCCCTGGTCGCGGTATTTCTTTATTGATTTTAAATAATTTCTTCTCCATAAAATAGTCTCTTGGCTGTCCATCAAAATACTATTTCTGCCCCGTTTTCTATACTCAAAATGATGTTCTTTGAGTCAGCTATAGAATGTGGTCCTTTTGAAAGTCGGTAAGCCTTCACCACTATTAACCTCCTGTAATACTTTGTCTGTGGTGGGAAGCTCCTGACTTGAAAAAAATTGATGGACTTTGCGTCTGTTGGCTTTCCGATCAAAGTTATCAACTACAGGGTGCGGCAGAGAGGATGGACGGTTTTAAAAAAATCATAAAATAGTTAATGTTTACTCAAAAACAAATTTATTGATGGAATCAGGTTCACAAGGAAATAGCATTTGAGACAGTCAAGTGTGGAAAATCACATCAGGCATGTGGTGTCCGAAATCGTTGATGCAGTGCTGGAGGCGCTCTTGGAAGTTCGCGTAGACTCTCTCCAACATCGCTCTCTCAACTTGGGCGACTTCCACGCGAATTTCGCCCTTCAATTCGTCCAGAGTTCGGGGCTTGTTCGTGTATACTCTAGCCTTGAGGAGTCCCCATAAGAAAAAATCGCATATGGATAAATCTGGGGACCGAGGAGGCCAATGAACATCGCCAAACCTGGAAATAAGGCGACCAGGGAAGAGAGGGCGAATAACGTCCATGGACGCTCGGGCTGTGTGGGCGATCGCCCCATCCTGCTGGAACCACACACGTCGGATTGGAACACGTCGCCGTCGTAATTCAGGGAGAAAGAAGTTGGTGATCATGTCGACGTAACGCTCTGAGTTCACGGTAACATCACGACCATTACCGTCTTCGAAGAAGTAAGGGCCAATGATGCACGTTTGCGATACAGCGCACCAAACCATTACTTTTGGGCTGTGCAGCGGTCTTTCGTGTAACTGTTGCGGATTTTCATTAGCCCAATAACGACAATTCTGCTGGTTAACCATGCTGTTCAGGTGAAAGTGGGCTTCGTCACTCATAAACAAAATGAGGTTCTCATTTTGATCGATCAGTGCTTCCATCTCGCGTGCGAAGTTCATTCGTTGTGCATAATCTCCGGGCTGTAACTGTTGCACAATGGCGAATTTGTAGGGGTGAAAGCGGAGATCCATATGCAAAATTCGCCTTACCGAACGATCACTAAGGCGAAGTGCAGCAGCATGTTTCCGGGCAGATCGAGTCGGACTGCGAAGAAAGACCTGTCGAACGCGTTCAACCTTTTCAGGAGTTCGAACTGTTCGCGGCGCTCCTCTTGGTCTTCTGTTGATCAGTTCACCACGCCTGCGAAGTGATTCAACCCAACGAAGGATGGTGTTTCGAGAGGGAATAGCTGTATTCCGATGAATGTTGAAGTGGCGACGAAACTCACGCTGTATGATGATGACTGACTCATTATTTCGGACGAAACAATCATAGGCGAAAACGCGGTGCTCCACCATCTAAGGCTCCATAACGACAACTGGTAAAATAATGCTAGGATCTCACGAGTCAAACGGCACCCTCCCCACCTCTCTCGTAGACGGAGGCAGAGAGTACTACCCATCCCAAAAACCTCCGTCCTCTCTGCCGCACCCTGTATATCCAACAGCTTCGTGTAATGCAGCCTCTTGTGTGGTGGAGACAATTTTTTGTTTTTTTTATACCCCGAGCCTGAGCTATATCCTGTCGAATCCTGCACTTGTGCTGCATCTTTGTTGTGCTACGAATAGGGTATAGTCAGTGTGCAATAAAATGAAAAACAAAAATTACACAAACAAGAGAAAGGTGCTTTAAGTAGGGAGAAAAGAAACAATAGCAAAAAAGAATATATGAGTATATCATTTAATTTTCACACACAAATATATAACAAACGAAAACGTCTAGAGAGAGGTGTAAAAAAGCAAAAAAGGTGAGCGTGTAGCACTTTTCCTGAAATCCACAATAGAAGGTACCACAAAAATTCCCAATCCAATTCGCATTATTGCACTGCTTTAGACTGTGCCCTCTTGCAGAAAAAGGAAGCTTTATATTTGGATGCCAGTCTCGGTACCAGGTACCTGATCTATACTATGAAATTTTCAATCAAATTCCTATTGAATACGAACTTCTAACAAACTATTTATCTATTACAGGGAAAAGTAATAATGCACGATCCCTTCGCCATGCGACCCTTCTTCGGCTACAACTTCGGCAAGTACCTGGAACACTGGCTATCCATGGAACAACCATCTCGTCAGTTGCCAAAAATATTCCACGTCAACTGGTTTAGAAAAAGCCACGACGGAAAATTCCTCTGGCCCGGATTCGGAGAAAACTCTAGGGTCCTCGACTGGGTCTTGAGAAGATTAGACGGAGAAGACTGCGCCCAAGATACTGCCATTGGCTACGTGCCAAAACTGAACTCCCTAAATTTGGATGGTCTGAGGGATAGCGTGGATTTCAAACAACTGTTTGACATCCCTAAGGACTTCTGGAGGGAGGAAGTATACGCGATCGAGAAGTATTTCAGTGAGCAAGTGGGCAAGGATTTGCCCAAAGAGATTGCTAACCAGTTGGTAGATGTTAAGAGACGTGTTGACAATATGTAAAGACTGTCCAGTGTATTTTGAGATCTTTATTTTGTATTTGAATGTGTGATTTTTTATTGGTATTATTATGAGATTTTATTAATAAATGTAACCAAATAATTTAAAGTGTCTCACTAGAACTTGTCCAGACTACTAGGTAGGAACCGGAAAGAATCAAGAAACCGAAAACTGATGTTAGTACCGGCAATGTATACTAAGTGACATAAATCCGAACACCCAGTTTAAATGGTTTTATTTTAATAAAAGTTGGTGAATGTATTTATCTTACTGTAAATAACAAGTGAAAAAATTTTCAGCCTTATCAGTTGGATAAACCGGTTTTTATACTGCTTTTTTTTAATTGACCAGCGCTCTAAAAATGAATATTTCAGCCGTAGTAAAGAATCAACGATGGCGGATTTTGGTTCTTGACATCCTTTACAATCGGTTACGATGCCTAGAGTACGGAGACCTGTACGATTTCGTCAACTTAGTGAGTTTGATAGGGGCCGTATAGTGGGACTTCGGGAAGCTGGACTTTCTTTTCGGGTAATCGCAGTTAGAGTGCAAAGAAGTGTAGACACTGTGGTTAGGTATTGTCAGGCATGGCTTCGAGAAGGCCGTACGCAAAGAGCAAGGGGCACTGGACGCCGCCGTAGAACAACAGACCGTGAATATCGCCGCCTAAGATTATTGGCCTTAAGGGACCGTTTCTCTACTACCAGGTCCATTGCAAATGAATGGTTTGCAGAACACGGAACAGTATTGTCTTTAGTGACGAGTCTCGATTTTGTTTAGGCATGCACGATGGTCGTGCCAGGGTTACAAGGCGACGTGGTGAAAGCAGGAATCCACAGTTTTTTGTTGAAAGACATGTTATATCCACGAAGTTCTAGAACCCCATTTTTACCCTATCTAGACACCCTGGCAGATCCAACTTTCCAACAAGATAATGCCCGACCACATGTTGCAAGAGTCACAACAGACTTCTTTCAACATAATGATGTCACATTGTTACCATGGCCACCAAGATCCCCCGACTTATCCCCAATTGAGTACGTGTGGGATATGATGGGTAGGAGATTGCTCAATTTGCAACGTCCTCCTCAGACTCTAGAAGCACTTCGAGAGGAGTTGGTGGTTGCCTGGAATGAGATACCACAGGAGGACATTGACCACCTAATCAGAAGCATGCCTAGGCGCGTTGGAGAATGCGTAGCACATCAGGGTGCATCCACACATTATTAAAGGTCAAAGGGCTTTAAAGCAGTGCAATCATTTTGAAATTTTTATCATTTACTTATTGTGCTTCATTAAGTACTTATAAAAAATTTTATTAAAATAAAACCATTTAAACTGTTCGGATTTATATGTCACTTAGTATATTTTGTAAACGAAATATAACGCTCATTATTCGAAGGTAACAAATTGAGATTTCCTTCAATATTGGTGCTGAGAGCTCTGATTATAAAATGTGCATCGTATCCAGAAAAATTGTGGAACAACACAGGTACAGTACGTGACTTCCAATAGTTTACATTACAAGACATATGAGCTGCTCCTCTATATTTACCTGTTGAGTGACAATGATCTTTAACTCTCACTTCATTTTCATCAAAAGGTTTCTCACAAATACTACAACTGGAAGTCAAACGAAAACCTTTCGCCTCATCACTGTTTAGATCTATAGGTTCGCATGTCTGATAAACTTTATGAAGTTCTTTAGCAATGTTGAGCAATTCATTAACAAACCAATTTTGACAACCAGCACCCGTATGCACCCGTAATTCGATTTAAGATAGTAAGCTACACTGAAAGCCTCATGCTTTTGAAACTTTTGGGTGTTATTTGTTCCATTGTCATCATCCTCATAATTCATAAGTATGCTTTCAATCTCTGCATAAATGGCAAAAGGAACACATAATTTATTCCTAAAGTTTTTAAATTTCATAATATTATTAGTTTCATTAGGCATAACGACCTTAGTGCTGTTAAGCTGCTTACAATCTTTAGAATGTTTTCTCAAATGATGTTCACTTGAAAAATAATTTAGACACCTTTCACAAATCCATTTTTTGTGCAAAATACTATATTGCACAACCTAACATTCATAGCTGCACTATATTTGATAAAGATATGGACATAATTGAAATGAATAAACTGAAAGCTACATTAAACAATCCAATTTTCATTGGTATGTCGATATTGGACATATCTAAAACTTACATATATGATTTTCATTACAATTATATTAAACACAAATTCAAAGATGATTCAAAACTACTATATACTGATACAGATAGTTTAATATATCAGTTTTTCAAATATTGATGACATTTACAAACACATCAAAGAAGACATTGATAGATTTGATACGTCCGATTATCCAGAAAACAACGTTTTTGGAATTCCATTGAAAAACAAAAAAGTTATAGGGTTAATGAAAGATGAAAATCAAGGTCGAATCATGACACGCTTTATTGGGTTGCGTTCCAAAATGTATGCTCTGAGAACTTTGCCTGAGTCAGGTAACAACAAGGACTCTCATGTTATTAAAAAAGCGAAAGGAATTCAACAGTCAGCTTTGAAGGAAATAACGTTTGATGATTACCATAAATGTTTATTCCAAAATACTCAAGTAGCTGTAACACAGCAATCCATAATTTCGAAACATCACAATGTATTCACAATTTCCCGACAAAAAATTGCATTGAGCCCATATGGCGATAAAAGAATTGTCAATTATATTTATACAGACACAAAACCATGGGGATATCATGATTACTCTTGATTTCTTCTTCAATTTTGGATTCTGTTTTTGTCCATAAAACTAATCTACAACTACGTTAACTCTTAGCCACAATAAGCTTTGAATGTAAGTATACATATAATATTTTTTTTATTTTTTTATTTTTCTAGAATGTTCTAAACTCAACCAACAAACGATTCCAAAACATTCAAAACACGAA